CGGTTGTTGCATAATTGGGTGTTTGAGTTATATACAGCAGTGCAAGCTATGAGTGTGGTGGGGGGGGGATGGGGGATTTATACACACCCCGCATTCAGCGTGGGTTCCCATAACCCTCTAGCACTCCATCCCCGCTCCCCTCCATCCTTCGTGGTCCGTCTTCCAGTCTGCCATGAGCTCCTTGGAAAAAGTCCTGGTCAGCCCGTTCCTATGGGACTTCCCAGCATAAGGAATCTAGGCATTGAAGCAGGTGGGCGGTGCCAGGGACTTCTTTGGACTGAGATGCCACCATGGCTAAGTGGGGGTAGGCAGTTCCTTGGACGGGGCGGGAACGCCCCTGGCGCCTTGTGGAGCCATGCGGGGCGGGGGATGGGGGGGAGTGTTGGCAACGCCTACCAGTTGCTTCAGCTCTGAGCTGCCATAAATACTCCTAGAATGCCAAGGAGGGTAAGGGGTTGCTCAGAAGTCCGAGGAATCGAGAGGATTTAAGGACTGCTTTGGAAGAAAACTGAAAGGGATTGAATGTGAGGAGAACAAGAGGGAGGCAGCCTTTTCCGGCATTTAATTGAGGGGCCCTCAAGGCAGACCTGGGGCCACAGCTCCCCAGCTGTCCCTGGATAGGGCCACCTTAGTCCCAGTCGCTCTAACTTTGCATAGCCCCGAGGAAGGTCCCTACTTAGTCGTGTCATACACATGGGACCTACCTTGACCGCGTAGGTAAGTCACTCACACCAAACAGGGAGTGTGAGTCCTGGGCCAGCATGAGCCTCACACCCGCTCTCGAAGCCGGGTGTCACAGGGCAATGAGGCCCCACACACACATCGCCAAGCACGAATCCGGCCACACAAAGCCGCTATTATAGTTAACAGGTTGAGCCAGATTCTCCGGGTGAGACCCTCAGCGCAACATAGCCTCAGGTCCCCAGCGCTGCCCGCCCACTCACTAACTCTCGTGGGGACTCACTGGCCACGGGAACTTGATCCGTGTGGCTCACTTCAGCCGAGGAAGGAAGCGAGTCTTTCTGCCCAGACAGGTCTGTTCGTCCTCTTCTCTTTCCCCTCCCCGCATCTTTAGACACACTCGGTTAATTTGTTCATTTTCTGTTCTCAACTATCTACATCCTAATCTATCGTTTCCGGCAGACGCGTTGAAAAGCCAGGAGTGGCGCGCTTGCGAAATCTCAGAGTTCCGGACAGAACTGGGGTTTGTTGGCCTGACTGTGACCTTCCGCAACCCCCCTCCTCTACGGTCCCCGCCCCACTTCCACAGGGACCACTGGCTAAGCCCTTCTCCGCCAAGGCGCGCTCTTCGGACGCGGGATTCCCCGCTACCCTCGCCGAGATTCGGTCTAACGAATTTCGGGTGACGATCCGGCAGTCTTGCGCGCTTCCTCCGCGCCAAGTGGGGAGGCCTCGCCTAGCGCCTGGGCAGACCCAGACCGGAGGGGCCCCAGGAGAGCGCGCGAGCTGGGTCTCGAGCGGCCAAACTTGCGCCGGAGGTGCAGGCCAGGTGCAGGTGGGTGGCATTGGTGACGGTGAAAGCTCGTGACCGGCACTGGGGCCGAGGTGTGCTGGGCAGGAGCTGAGAGCAGAGAGGCTGAGGGCCTGTTGGGTTGAATGTGAGCCTTGGACTGTTTGTGAAGATGGAGTTGCTTAGAGACACTGGGGGTTTATTTTGTTCCCAACATTTCTTTGCGTTTGTCTCTGCAAGCCGGGATTGTCAGGAAGCAGTGGCAGTGAAGTGCCTGGGTTCTAAGTGGGTTGGGGCAATTTGTTGCCTTCCCCCCACCCCACCCCCAGCTCCTCAGTTGTCGGACAGTCTGTGGTCAGAAGACATCCAGAGATATCTGGGCGCAGCAGAGATCGAGGGAATCCTGGGGATGAGAGGCAGGAAAACCCCTGTCCCCCCTGCGATCCGGCAACTCCTAGAAGGTGCCGGTCCTGAGAGAGACACTGGTGGTGTTTCAAGACGCAAATACAACAAAGACGTCTGCGGCTCCAGCTCCAGTGGGTGCAGAGGGTGTCACCAGATCTACCCGGAGAGGTGAATTATGCGGTTCTGAGAGCGCCATTCCCGAATTTCGCTCGACTGGCGCTGGCTGCTGGAGACCCGCTCCTGACGTCGTGCTGAGGACGGACTCGTACCCCTAAGCCCAACGCACTCCCGGTCGGGCCTGGGTACAGTCGGGACTGAAGTCTTTTGGATCCCAACTCTCCTCTCCTACAGGATCCCAATCCTAGAGGGCCGTGGAAATGGATGAGGTAGCCCCCACCCACACACACACCCGCCCAGCCCCCAGACCGATTTTCCCGTGCGGCCTCCTAGGCTGGGAGGTTGCCTTGGTCTTTGTTCGAGTGGAAATCCTTGTAGAGCAGCCGGATAGAATAGTGGCTCTCCTGGCTCTGCGGGCGCAGACAGCATCATGAACCCACACCCGCCCCACAGCCCACTTCTACCTGTAAAGTTTCTCACCTTCCATCCTAAAGAAAGCGCGTCTTTCTCCCTCCTTACACCCGACTCCCAATAAAATGGCGAGTTTCCCAGACCTACATCTCAGAAAAGCAAACCAAGTCAGTTTTGCATGCATGGTCTAGTGGGTTGGAGACTAGGTGTTCCCGGCATGCATATATACTGGGGCTGCTTTGATGATTGGCGAAGTCACTTCTTCAGACCCCTACCAGTGTCAGGCCATCACTAGAAGCCAGGAAGGTCAGCTAGGGTCCTGGTCTCAATTCTTGACTCACTGTGTCTCAGTCTGCAGTTTGCTGCTACAGGGCCTAGATCCCCAGAGCTCTAGCAGATATTGGTCCACACACAACGTATCAAATGTATTTGCGCATACCATCTAACCACCCCCAACTATGAACAGCATTAACTCACAATTACACCCACTCACACAATCATATGCCTCAGGTACAGTCTCCCACCACCATCCATACTCCCCACAAAGACATTCATACACGGTTAAAATACACATCACACAATACAATTACACAATGACAACACAATCACATTCACGCATTTAACACAAAAATAGAATCACGGAGAGAGACTAATATGTCTTCTCACAAATGAATTCATGATTCATATACAGTCACACATTTTATTCAAAGAGACACAATCAATTGCATTCACACAAGTTTACATACATACCACTATAAGCTTGTGCATAATGATGAGTTTTAAATTGCAATTTAAGGAAGAAATTTGCATACAATAATTGCAAAACACATTTACACACTTATACACCATTACAAACCTTCCATATCAGTAATATTCTGACTGCCCACACAATCACAAACACACACACACACCTCTCATACCCCAAAACATCTACATTTCAAACATTAGAAGCAACCGGGCTCTCCTTCCTGCCCTCTGCTCTAGCCTGTCTGTCCCCTTCTTTCTTTCCTGTCTCCAGAGTCCACAGGTCCTGCTCCCAGGTCTCTCAACTCCAAGTACCAGCAGTTACCCACGCAACACCAGCCAGCACCAAATAGGAGCAGCTTTAAGGTGCCGGGCTCAGCAAGCAGCAGGCAGTCCCGACGCCCGATCCGGAAGGTTTTATTTTTTTCACATAAATTACACAAGCACTTTATAAAATGGTTACACAGAAAACACCTTATAAGTGCATAACTTAATCCCCCCACCCCTATGAATAGGATCTGGAGAAACAGGCTGTTTGTGAGTTTGTGTGAAAATCTGCCTGTGTGTACCTGGGTGCAGTTGTACTGTGTGATGGAATCCTGTGCCACCGTGTGACTATGGCCTTGAGTCTGGATATCACTCTGATACCCAGAGTGAGTCTGGCTGAGCCCTTGCCTGTACCTGATATCTAGAGTCCAGGGTGTGTGAAGGCTAGGATGCTGTGTTGCAAGTTGCCCTGCCTTGGGTCCCCCTGGGTGTGGTTCTGTGGCAGGGTGGGGAGCGTCTGGCCCTCCAGGCTATTTCGTCTGGCCCTGCCAAGGCAACCAAAGTTCCAGCCATCACACTGTTGTTGTTAAGTGCTGTCAAGACAGTTCCAACTCATAGTGACCCTGTATAAGGTTTCTAAGGAGCAACTAATGGATTTGAACAGCTGACCTTGTGGTGATCAGTCCAGTGATTATCCTACAATGCTACACCAGGAGTCCAGCCATAACATTGTTGTTGTTAAGTGCCTTTGAGTTGTTTCAGACTCCTAACAACCCTGTGTAGGATTTCTGAGGAGTGGCTGGTGAACTTGAACCACCAACCTTGCATTGTTGTTGTTAAGTGCCGTTGAGTTGGTTCCGACCCATAGCGACCCTGTATAGTGTTTCCAAGGTGCAGCTGGTGAACTTGAGCCATCAACCTTATGGTTCAAGTAGACTTTGCAGTCCAGCGCATTAATCCACAGTGCCACACCAGGATTTCAACCTTGCATTAGGGATTGGTTAATTAAATGTTTGACCAAATATAACAGGCCAGTTTTTAAGTTGATAATTTTGTATGGCCTGAAAATTGTTATAAATTTTGTCAGAAAAAAAGGTTCCCCACCTCTGCTCTAGGGCACCACCAGGAGGTATGGAGCTATTTCCTCCTCGTGGACCTGTGGTTGTCTGTGATGGGGAGTGGGGCACAGATATGGGTTTTCCCCAAGACAAGTTCAGATGGCAGCCCTGGGGACCCCAGACACTCTTCCTCCCCCACCCACCCCCTGCCTTTCTAGGCTTCCTGTTAAAAATCTGAATAAAATAAAATAGATGCAAAAGGAGGATTCTGAACAGCTCCACTGGGTCCAGGACCACACAGGTGTCTGGGAGGGATTTTCATGTCCTGTTCCCAAAGCCCTTTTCTTCTCTTCCATGGAAAAGAGAGCAGGGCCGTCAGGAAGGTCGGTGAGGATGGGGTGCAGAGGGGTGCAGCGTACCTCCCGCGTGCAGTCCACGGCGGGCGGGGAGGGACAGGGAAGAGTCCTGGCTCTGGGTCTCAGCGACCCCTGGCTGGGCCGGGGGTCCCGCGAAGGCAGAGCGCAGGCTCATTCGCAGGCCGAAGCCACGGACGTGACGCTGGTGATCTTGGTGGAGTCATCAGACCACGGCTGCAGGTTCTGCAGGGCGAAGAGTGACGAGTTGTGCACGCACAGCGGGTCGGCGGGCAGCGGTTGCGCCAGGCTCTTCTGGAAAGCCTCTTGTTGCAGCTGCAAGAGGATGCGGTTCGCCTGCTGCCTCTCGGCCTCGCGTTCTTCCGCCGTCTGCCGCCTGCACCGGGACAAGTCGCCAGGCCGTTAACCGCCAGTACACCACACGGCTGCCGTCACCCACCCTCAGGGTCTCCCTGTGCAACCCCCCACTCCAACTCAGGCCCCCTTTAACACAATGACTTCACTTGGGAGTGTTGACTCTGGCAACCACCCCCACCCCACCCCGTCCCCCGCAGCACTGTCAAGTCTGCTAGGCCCAAGCCACTGGGGCGTTCATCCAGCGCAACTCCCACAACCCATCAACCTTGGATGGCACGGCCAGGACTAGGACGACATCGACCTAGATAGCGGCGTGCCTCCCCACAAGCCGGAGGGAGCCCGGCCTATTCACCCTCCTCTCCGTTCGGCCAAGTGGAAGACCAGGCGGATGCGAGCTGCCTGCGAACTTCTCCCCAGCCCCAGCCTCCCGCCCAAGACCCGCTCCCAGCGCCCAGCAGGGGCTCGCGGGACCGCTTCCTCCCAGGCGGTCCAGGGAGGCGATGACTCACTTATTCCATTTAATGCCGCCCCTCCACCCCGTCAACTGAGATCAAACGTCTGTCTCTAAGGTGGACAGACCTAATGGGAGTCCCGGGGGCCTCCAGAAGCAATTTGTAGGCGATCGATGAAGCCGCGCGAAGCCGGCGAGGGCCTCTCTGAGCCGCGGCCACAGGCTTCCTCCGTGCCTCCCCTTCTTGCTTTTTGCCCGGTGTGTTTTGCTTCTGCCTTCTCTTTCCTGTATTTCATGCTGCCCAAATGCTTTTCTTCCTTTATGCTTTGTTTCTTTGTCTCTTTGCTCCCACCCCACCCCCTTCATTCTCTCAGAATTAAGGGAATTCGTTTGCAACGAATACGGCGGCTGTTAGTCATCAGTTGCTTTTCTTTATTACGAATAAGACTCCTTCAGGATACCTGGTTTTCTCATTTTTCTTACTGGGGTGTCTATATTTGTTTTCGTTTTGTTTTTCTTTGTGTTTCCGTTTCTCTGCCTGTCTCTCCCTCCTCATCCTCTCTGAGGACCCCCTCCTCCCCCTAGGCTGCAGCCCTTAGTAGGCTTTGGGAACACCAATACCCACCTCAAACTAGACACACACAGCAGTCAAAGCTAGCTTTCCCCAGGTCTGAGGCCAAGTCCCCCACCCTTTCTTCAGAAGCAAGAATGCTAGGGAGGGGGGAGGCCGACTCTCGGGCTGTGGCTTCCTTTGCCGCCCGCCGGGAGGGCAGATTCCTCTCCTTCATTCAGAAAAAGAGGAAACTCCAATTCCTTCCTCCAGCTCCACCCGGAGGCCCGCCCGGCGGCTTGTCGACAGACTCCCGCCAAACTCTCCGGTGTTTCTCCCGGGTGGAGCTCCCGGCGTGGGGAACCGAATGCGCGGACCAAATGTGAAGAGCGCAAAGGGGGTGTGAGAGGGTGCAGTCAGAGAAAGCGCCCTGGCGTTGGGTGTTTCAAGAATAAAGCTACTTAGGGGGAGGGGGCGCTGTATGTCCATGAGCAGAGAGTAAAAATGAGAGAGGTCGAGGTATATGTATGTGAAAACAATAAAACTGAATTTGTACTAAGTGCAGTCTTGGTGTGTGATGGGAGCAGGGAAAAATCTCTCTCACACGCACTCCCATCTGCTCCTAATTGATCCCCCTTTCAGGGAACCCGCGTACCCCCAGCCGCAGCCGGTGCGGATTGATTTTCCCCTTTTAGGGCGGGGGCCAACTGCGCGCAGCCGGGTGTCTGGGGAGAGCGCAGCGGCGCCTGGGGCCCGGCTGGGGCGCAGAAACGAGGCGCGGGCCACTTCGCCTCCGGTCTCCTAGAAGTGAGAGTCTGAGCAAACAAAAAGCCCGTCAGGCCTCACTGAGTCTGGAGACCGGGACTGCATAGACTGTTCCCCAGCGGCAGAAAAGCACCGCCGCGTCTACAGGGGCAGCATGTGCCAGCCAGAAAGCCCCGAAGTCTCCGAAAAACCAGAACCGGAGCTGGAGCTCCCGGGCTCACCCCGGCTGGCTGTCGGTGGTCGTTTTCCCGCTCCCTAGACGCCTAGCTGCAGTCTCCAGCTCCGGTGACTGATGGGGAAGCGGCAAGCGCAGGGAGTGTGTGAGCCCCTGAGGCCTGAGCTAGGCCGCCCACGCGCTCACCTCCACTTCGTCCGCCGGTTCTGGAACCAGGTCTTGACCTGCGCGTCGGTCATTTTGAGGGCCTTGGCCAGGGCGGCGCGCTCGGCCGAGGCCAGGTACTTCTGGCGATGAAAGCGCTTCTCCAGCTCGCAGATCTGCAGGCGCGTGAAGGACGTGCGCGGCTTCTTCTTCTTAGGGGGCGTCCGGTTCTGATAGGGGTGACCTATACGGCGTGTTACAGTGAAGGGTGAGAGGGCCACTGGAGCGGGAGACAGACAGACGGCAGAGGCAAGCGGCAGAGCGTCAGGAGGTGTCTCAGGCCCGATATCCCGCGAGTCAGCGAGCGCAGCGGCGGACAGCAGAGCAGGGGCGTGAGCCTCCCGTCAATCCTCAGCGCCAGGCCCGCAGCGGAAAAGGCCCCCACCCCCCGCCAGGCCGACGCCGCTGCCGCCACCACCGAGGCCTCCCTAGCCCTAGGCTCCCGCCTGCTCAAAGCAGACATGGCCTTAGCCGCCTTCACGCTCCTCCGGAGGGGCAGGTCTGAAGACCAAGTCTCCAATCTCACAGAAGCTTCTACGTTAAGACCCTGCTTAATCAAGGCCCCCCAACCCTGGGCCCCGACCTAAGCCTCTACCATACAGCAAAGTCCACAGACACCTCACATACACCGAGCACAGACTTCCAAATCCTAACAACCAGATGGACAGACAGACACAGCAGTCAAACACAGACACAGCACACAAGGAAGGCCCAGAGAAGTCAGGGCAGCAGAAGACTCCAGCCATACCCTGGCTCCAACTCTCACATGCTTTTCACGCCCTTTCTTCAGGCCTGGAGCAGGGCTGGCTGTGTTGTGGCTCCCTGGGTAGGCCCTCTTGGAGTACCTCTTCCCAGAAATGGGACCAGTTGCCAGGTGTGGACTGGGTGGGAGGTGTGAGGCAGGCACTAGGCCTAGGCTTCTGTTTCCCCAGGCCTGAGAGGACTGGAGGGAGGAGGGGTACAAAGAAGAGGCCCTGGGGCTCTGGAATGAAGAGACCTTTGGAAGGCCTAAAGCAGTAGCTATTCTACCTATGCCCTCCCCCTTCTGCCCCAGAGTCTGAACCGAGGCTACAGGAATAATCTGCCTGTCTGAACGACCTGAACCAAGTGCAGGGGACCTGGGGGCCTTGGGATTCCCTAGTCCGGCGTCTTCCTCTAAACTGTCTTTCTTCACCCTGGCTATGCGCACCTCCATCTCCTTCCACCCTTGGGCCCTGAAGCAGCTGCCGGGGCCTCCTGTCTCCCGGTTCTAAGGCCCGACCAGCGAACCCGGGCTCAACTCGTGGCTGCTTCCCAGCGGGACTTGGGAACTTGGGCCCGTGACAAAGAGTCTTGGTCCCGGATCTGGAAAACTCCAAGAGGAGTGAAAAGAGGGGCCGTGGAGAGGGGTTCGCGCGCGAAGGAGAACCAAGAGAGGGGAAACGAGGCCGAAGGAGCCAGGGCTAGCGGAGCCGCGGCAGCGAAGGCGGCAGTTGGCCGCCGCTGTGTGAGTAATCGTCCCGAGAGCCGTCCTTAGACCGCTAATCGATCGCCCCCCGGACAGTGGACAGTACATTATTCATGCCAGAGGAGTAAGGCTGAGTCCCTGAGAGACACTGAACCCCAACAGAGCAAAATCTAAGCAGAAAACATTAGGGGCGGCTTAGCCAACGGGGCCACCGCCCGGGACGCAGTCAGGGAAGAAGCTAGGGCCCGTCAGCTCTGGAGCTTTACTCAGACTCGAGGTCTCTGTCGGCCGGGCGACTAAGCCGGGTCGCGACATCGGGCCCGGAGCTCTGAGTGCCAAGTGTGTGTGTGTGTGCACAGAGGGAAGTGGGGGAATCTGTTCTTTCTTGTGTCTGATTCCGAGACTCGGAAAGGGAGCCACGCAAACCGCCTAGGTCTGAGGGCGGCGGCCAGGACCGCAGAAACTGAGTTTGTTCACATCGTAGCCCTTTCTCTGACCTTCCAGAGCCCTAATGGTGGAGAGCTTCAGCCCCCGTCCCTCTGCCTGTTCGGGCTCTGGGACCTCCAGAGGGAACCACGGAATGCTTCTAGGAGCTGGGGTGCTGTGGAAGAGGCGGAGAGGGGCTCCTGCTGGGAGAACTCTTAGAGGGTGGCAATTCCGCGAGCACAGAGAGGAGGCAGGCAGCAGAACTTGGGGAAGCCCTCGAGAAAGCTAGGCGCCCTGGCGCGCAGCGGGGGCTCGGGGGAGCTACCGAGCAGGGGAGGGGTGGCGCAGAGCCACGGCCTCGGCCAGGCAGGGCAAGCGCTGGCCGGACTCACCTGTAAACCTGTCCTTTGTGTATCTGCGGTTACTCTCCATCCAGGGAAAGGTGAGGCCGGTGAGGTTGTTGACTCCTGGCACGGCAGGCACGGAGGGCACGGTGGGTAAGCCAGTGGCCAGGGACTGTGGGTGGGCCACGGCTCCGGCGAGTGGCCTGTGTGCGGGCACC